GGCCAGCGACGGGAATGACACAGCACTTCGCTTCCCGACCACCAGCAGCGCAGATAGATGTAAAGTCGGCGCCAGAAGTGGGTGTCTTGGAGGGAGTATCACAATTCAGACCCGCAACACCGAGAACATCAGTAGCACAGCACTGAGCGTTACTGTAGAGACCGGGAGGGCACACGGGGCCACCAGGAGGATTGCCGCCGGGAGGGTTGCCGCCGGGAGGGTTGCCGCCGGGAGGGTTGCCACCAGGCGGGTTGCCACCAGGCGGGTTGCCACCAGGCGGGTTGCCACCAATGCACAGAGCAGCCTGTCCAGCGACAGGGAGAACGCAGCACTTGGCCTGCTTGCCAACAGCAGCGCAAATGGCGTTGAAGTTGTCACCAGAGGTTGGCGTCGTTGGTGGGCTAGCGCAATCAAGATCTAGAACACCGAGAACGTCGGTAGCGCAGCACTGGAGGTTGCTGTAAAGACCGTGAGGGCAATGAAACTCGCCACCGGGGCCAGGGTTGCCCGTGCTGGTGGTAGCCGGGCCGGAGCTCGTGTTGGAGCCCGTTTTGGTGCCGGTGGTAGTAGTGGCGGGGCCAGTTCTGGTGTTGCTGCTGGTGGGCTTTGGGCCAGGGCTTGAGCTGGTGCTACCACCAGTGGTCCTGGTACCGGGACTAGAACTGGTGTTGCTACCGGTGGGATTGCCACCGGGTCCGGTGTTGGTATTGCTGCCGGTAGGGTTGCCGCCAGGACCAGACTTTGTGCTACTGCCACCATGGTGAGGGTTGGGGACGCAGGCACTACCACCGTGGTTGGGATTGGTGGGCACGGCCAACGAGGTGCTGGCGAAGAGGGCAGCAGCGACAGTGATGAACTTCATCTTGATTGTCCCAGTTCTGTTATTAAGAAAGTGCGAGGATAAAGAGTGACTGGCGCTGTAAAGGCCTGGGGCAAAGTGCTGGAAAGGACTTGAAGGGGTAGAATGAGTTGTCAGAGCTAGAGAGCAGGCATCCTAGAAGATCAGAGGGGTGTGATCTTTATACCTTATGAGCAGCCTCGTCTCTGTGGTTCAGCTTCCAGGGATGGGCGGATTTGCCAACCTTCAGTAGCTCTTCTCTGTTTGTAGACGCATACTGACTATTCCCAGACCCCGGGCGACCGTGTAGTCACGTCAACCTTGCATATTGAGACCCGCTATGGGCTGCTGTGTTGGCCAAAGACGACCTTTTCCCTGCGAGATATTGGCCAAGGCGATATGTCTGAGAAGCGGTCTCGAAGCAAGCGCTCCATATTCGATAGTGAGTGAGAAAGTACCCGACAATTCGTCTGAGACCTAAAGGGAGGTCACCGGGAAGTTTGTGCTCCTTCACTGACTAACCCCTCGCAAAAAAGAAACGAAAGAGACAATCGGCGGCACTAGTTGGATAGGTTCAGGCTGAGTGCGGGGCGCTACTCAATGGACGAGCCAGTGGTGATTGTTCATGTGGGCTTTCTGGTGTCGCTCGCGCATTGTCTGGTGTAGCAAAAGTGGTACATTGATCGGATGTCTTGAGAGTTCGAATTCTAGTTGCTGCCCCCGGCCCGGGCTCGTGGTCGCGATAGGTGGCCGGAAGCGCGTTGTCGCTCAGCGCGGACGACATGGAGCAAAGGGCAACGACAGCGAGTCGAACCTGGGCCGAGATCAACATCTGAATCGAAAATGAGACAATTGATCACGAGAGACGTACAATTTGTATCGAGATACGCAGCATCGCTGGGCAGTAACGAATGGCAGAACCCGAACTGAGTGCTGGCAAACGGGGCTCTGGGGAGGCGACGAGCGGCAGGCCACAGTGAGTCCACGGGTACGGAGTACAGATAGTTCAGTCCCTTTTCCCGGATGTGACAGATCAAGAGGACAGCTGCACGTCTTTGGTCACATCCTGAGGATGTGACAATCGAGGGCGATCCCGAGCCCAGAAATCAGGGCGTACTGAGTAGCGACAAGCAGGAGAGGAAAGATGTCAAGGGAGCAAGGGAGCTTACAGGAACCGAGGCGCTAGTCACGGGAGGAGCGGGGCGATGGTGATGGTGGAAAGCAAGATCTGAATTTGGCGGGAGCTGGGGCTCGTTGAGAGCGGATGAACTGTTATATAGGTACCTACCATCTCTTATTGGTATGAGAAGCCTTTTTTTTTAAAAAAAAGTCCTCGTTTACAACATCCAATGATGAAATCACCTCAAGTCATCGTGAGAGCAATATCAGTCAACTGCCATCCATCTCTTCTTGGAATTGCCTGTGCCTGGGAAAAGTTGTCGGCGTACCTCCGCACATCATTTCAGCTGGCTGAGCGCTCCAAAAGCACCTGCATTAGCGCTCTCCAAGTCTCTACCTGTAGCCCGTGGGCTGTGTGGTGGCTGTGGGCTATGGCCCCACACACCACTAGATAGGTAGCCAGCATAGGGCAAGGCCTAGGAATATTATCTTTATTCTATTATATATACTTATAATTTAATAGTAATTATATTAAAAAATTAATATAATTAGAAGTTCTATTAAAAATTATTAAATTATTATATTATTATAACCTAGTTATATTAAAAAATAAATTATTATAACCTAGTTATATTAAACTATTAAATTATTAAAACCTTTATTATTATAACCCTTATTAATTAAAAAGTATAGCTAATTATATAGACTAGTTAAGATATATATTATAAAATATATATATCCTAGTATATATTATTTACTATTACTTAGAAGTAGAACTTATATTCTTTAAGCTAGATAAGGCTAAGTTAATATATTTAATTAATATAATTATTTATTAAAGATATATAGTAAACTAGATTAAGCTATTATTAGTAATCTTAAAAATAGATATAATAAGACTTTTATAGTTATAAAAAGTCTAAGTTATTATATATTATCTTAAAGATAGAATAATTACTAAGCTAGCTAAATAGCTAGTATATAAGCCTATCTTATAAGATAATTAAAGGCTAGTAATAGAAATTATATTATATTACTAAGAAAGATAAGTAATTAACCTACTATAAAGTTAAAGTTAGGTATCTTTACTATAGTTTAAAGATTATTTAGGCTAAGGCTATACCTTTTTAATAGATATTAATAGATAAGGTAGTAGTAATATTTAGTTATACTTTATAGTAGACTTAGATATACTTATTAGGATTATCTTCTAGGTAGTAGTTAAGACTTTAGTAATTATATTTAGGGATATAATTAATTAAGATACCTTTTTAATATATAGTTATAAGTTAATAATAAAAAGCTTATAAAAGGTAGATATTAACTTCTTTAAGCCTAAATTATAATATTTAGACTAGAATAGTATAGGAATTATTATAATAAGTAATAAAGATATTCTATATATTTATATATATATATTTACTAACTAGTTATTAATATATAGTTAATTATATAAAGAATAAGCTATTTAAGATATTTAATATACTTATTTATATAGAATAGCCTTTTAATAGTATATAAGTATACTTATAATAAATAATAGATAATATATACTTTATATATTAATATTAAATATTTATATAGCCTTTATTAATTATTTTAAGCTATTACTTTTTAAAGTAAATAGATACTTAAAATAGGTAGTCTATTTACTAGATAATACCTAAATAAGAAAAAATATAAATATATATATTCTATAAATACTATAAGATACTTAAGTAGTAAATTAAGACTTTTAGAATTAGCTTTAATAAGTATTTAACTTACTAGACCTTAAGATTAAGGCTATTCTAAACCTACTATTAGAAAGAATTACTATCTAAGGCTTCCTTAGAAATATCTATAATTACTAGAATATTATTTATAATCTAGTTATAAATAATAGTAATAATAGTCTTATTAATAAAGACTAAGCTTAATATAATAGCTATAATAATAATAGCCTTTAATAGCTATAAGCCTAACTATAAGTCTTAGTAGGCTATAATTAAGGTAACTAGGACTAGAAAGAATATAGGCTATAGATAGGAGAAAACTAAGGTAGTTATAGCTATTAGAATAGCTTCTAGTAAGGGAATAGATATAGTAGTAAATAATAATAGTTATACTAGCTATTCTAATAGGAAGCCTAGCTATTCTTACCTACCTTAGGTAATAGGTAGAAGCT